ATCTTCTCAAACACTTCATCATTCACCCCTTGATGGATGAAATATAATGCCTTCTTATCCTTTTTCTTGCTCTCACGATGGGCGTGCTTTTGGGCATCATTTGCATTTTCTGCAAGTTCAGCAACTCCAGTCTCTACCACACCTAGCAACTCGTGGTAATCAAAAAGCACCCTCATTTGGACATGCCACCTATTGTAATTCTTCCCATCCAAGATAGGAACTGAAATCTGATTTGAGCCATTCATTGTGTAAGGCTCTGATACCAATTGAAGTAGCAGAAGAGATAAAAGCAGAACAACCAAAAACAGAGCAGAACAGAGGAAGAAAGAGGCACTTCTATTGCTGGAAATAGATGAAGATAATTACATGTTAAACTGAATAACAACTGCCTATTTATAAAGCATAAACTCCTATTTTCTAGCCACTACAAACTGAAACTTAAAGATAAGGAAACGTGGTTATCAGCAACCACAATAATAGGACACATAAACTCCACTAACTAGGACTCATTCAAAAACAATTAGCTTGAAAATCGGGATTAACTCCAACAATTCACACTATTCCCATGGCATTCATAGTTTCATACTATTGGCATTTATTGCGAATATTTATATCCAATTTATATTAAGAATATTCTCTTTGTATATGATTATTTACATGCAGGTCATTCTACATACAATATTAATAAAAAAAAAGTAATACTTCTCTAAATAGGAAATTAAAGTAACATGGTATTACAGCTTGAATTTCCAAACCAAGTCTTCTTCATTTTTGGATAAAGAAAGGAAATTTTGTTTTATTATTATTATTATTATTATTTTATGTAGAATAAGGGAGACGAAAATATGTGCTGTTTTCCGTACATCTTTTTATTATGGTTGTAGGATGTCTCCTAATTTGATGTCTGTTCTATTCAATATTTTTTAGAATGCAATTATTTGATACTAGAAATGATCAAAAAAAAAAAAAAGAATGAAATTGGTCTTTCTAAAAAATTAGAACAGTAAATTTTTTTTTCCCTTTTGGTAAAAATTATTCAGGTTTCATTGTTATAGAAACAGCAGTGTTTAGGTCGTAAAACAAGTTAATTACAAAGCCGTTTAGGTTTATAGTTTTATAATTATAATGTATTATTA